AAGAGAGAAAGAGAGAGGGAGAGAGAGCGAGTGTGTGTGAGAGAGAGACAGAGAGAAAGAGAGAGAGAGAGAGAGAGAGAGAGAGAGAGAGACAGAGAGAGAGAGAGAGAGAGATGGTGAGAGAGAGAAAGAGTGAGAGAGGCAGTTTGTTGACAAATGTGTCTGCCAAATCTAATGGTCGATAAGCGGCTTAGACACATGCACCTGTGACAGTGTCGTGTGTGGGCGTGTACACACGCCCGCCCAGAGAAGTCTATCTGTGTCTCTCACTCTCTTCTTACAATTGCTAATCTATACTATAGCGAACGAAGCCACCTGTTCATACTTAATTCTGTTCACAACTCCGATCGACGGCGAATGATACACAAGGTGCGCTGTAGAAGAAGTTCGTAGTTATGCATTTAGCATGCACACTGCACATTTGCAGATTTCATACAAATATACACGTACACAATTTCCCCATTTCAATGTTTTAATTGCTTGTACAATGTATTAAGAGGTCCGGGTTAGGTGCGGACCACGCGTGCCACATGCAGGCAGCAATTAATTCAGCAAGTGGTAGTAGCTTTCTGAAATTCTGACACGCTTTATGTGAGCCTGGTCAACCTCGATTCAGTTGGTTAAGCTAGTCCTGGCTAGCGTGCAGTAATCTCGCGATCGAACGACGGGCCTGGTGTAGACGAAGTTGATATAGTGTCAAATTTACGTCCACATCTTATGCGTTTTCGTTCTCACTTCTTTGTATTTCCTCGCCTCTCTTATTCTCAACATTCTTCCCGGACTTGCATTACGGTAAAGCGACAAGTTCTTGCATTATTTCGGTACCCGCATGAAATGCAAATCGACCATTATAAGTCCTGCTCTGCTAGAACAGTAATTTCAGAAATGGGTTTTTATCTTTTTTTTATCGACACGCGGTCGTTCAGTAGAGAAATCTTCCCTGGTGTCCTGCTAATAGACATATACTTCAACTGAACTATTAGAAACTATTTTCACGTAAATCTCATTAATAAAGGAAGGGGCAATCTGTAGCGAAACTAGCTTATATAAACGTACAATTATCATTGCACTCGACTAAAACCCGTAATGCAATAAACCATCGAAAGTTTATTTTATATGACTGATTATTTTATATGCCCCTTCACGTCCTGTCCGGGGTTACGCAGTGCACAATAATGATATATTCGTACATGATTGATGGATCAATTCAAAATCTCGCTTGGCATAACGAAAAGTAAGCGGAAAAGTAAATAGAAAAGAAAGTAAACGCTCGGCTATACATAATCCCTTTCGCGAACACGCCCGCATACCCAATTTCGCCCTACTTACTTTATAACTCTTTCACACTAACTATGGTCTGGCCATATAGCGAGTGGAGAAAATCGACTACGTACGCGTATAGTCTCACTCCACTTACTTATAGTACTTACATACCGACCATGATCTGGTCATATATAGCTAATCGATGAGTTGACGCACGCACGCACGCACGCACGCACGCACGCACGCACGCACGCACGCACGCACGCACACTATCGATCGATCTATGGATTTTATGTATTAAAATGTATCTTCCTACGGCGATCATAACAGTGTGGTCTATTAATATGCACCGTCGTTCTTCAGGTCTTGTTATATAGAAAACGAAAAAATTGAAAATATGTAACCTTCAAGTGAAAGACAACGAATATAATTTTATACGAGGGAATTATAACACAAAAAAAGAAAAAAAATATCGCAATTCGCTAAAAATGTACAAAAAGTAGTAAAATGACAGAACTATATATCGTGAGACGCTTGAGGAACTACGACCTTTGTTTTTAATAAACATTGCAACAGTCGAAGTTGTTTTATAGAATTCTTTATATAAATAATATAAATTTTCACACCGCAACTTCCAAGCATTAAAATCATCGAGTGATTCACTGAATGAGTCGCTCTCTATTGCTTTTCAAAAAATATATAATGTACTCACGTACTTGTGCGCGCGTGTTAATGTGTGTTCGCGCGTGCGCGCGCGCGTGTGTGCATGTATGCGTGCGTGAGTGCGTGTATGCGTAATTGTATGTGGTGTGTGTGCGCGCGCGAATCTGTGTGAATGTGTGAGTGCGTGTGTTGTGTGTGTACGCGCGTGTGTTCACAGAACAGATATAATCGCGCGTGTATACGTGTGCGTGTATATATATATATATGCGTGCGCTGTCTACCGTTATTAGAGGTGAGCTAGTTTTCTTGATATCTGTGACTCGGACATGGCTTAGATTCACTAAGTAGGACTTTCTTAATACGATCAGCACTAGATCGTGCGGCAGCGTCATCATCACCGTCGCTGTCCTCATCTGTGCTGCTTAACACCACCGGGTGAGAATTGCACGTAGGCAGACACAGGTATTCTAAGAGCGGTAGCCGGTATTTGCCACAGAAGTCAACGAAATTCACCTGTTTGATGTGTGAGTCGAAGTAGACACCTGCAAATGTTGGACACATGTACGTCTATAAATCTAACGAAGGTGTGCAACAGCATATCTGTAAGCACACATTGCTGTACTTACTTATATAAATTGCAATACGATATGTATTTACAATAATAATTAACACGGCGAAAGATGTTATATTCCTAGACGGAGTGGTTTTATAATGTAGTGTTAAGATTTCCCAGTAACGACAGTAATCGTACAAATCTCAATTTACGATGACGAATTTGTCTACAGATAAGCATATATATGATATATGGCAGTTCACCTTTGCATTTTGGATTCACGCATCTCTTTGCGGTGGAGAGATAAGCGACGAGTGTTTGCGGTAGATCCTTCCTGCTGTATTGAATGTTTTTTATTTTGATACGTCTAGCGGCCAGCTCGAGTAGAGTGGGTGGCTCATAGACCATATCCTGAACAAACTTCACGACCAGTGGATTGTTTCTGGAGGCAAAAAAATACACGTAGTGATCAGATTATCTGCGAGGGTGTGTCAGAATAAGGTGTACTTTCCTCGATCTATAATTAGTGGAGTAATGAGGATGCAATTAAGCTAATATAAGCGTATAGACTCGCCATCATCATCGTCATCGTTTCTTCGTTTTTGCTTAGTCATTACCACCGTCACCATCCTAGATGTTGTTGTCGTCATAACTGTCATCCTCATTATCATCGTCACCAACGTATCCGTAATCTTTTTTTTACCATTGTATATGTCACCATAATGTTGGCTCTCCTTCCACGTACTGTCATTTGTCATATACCGCGCATCTGTTGATTTTAATTGTTGTACAGGCGTTATTAAATTATATCTAAATGAACATGCAAACGACACAATGACAACAAAGCGCATCCGGCGTGTCGTTTCTAATAAACCTAGCGCACGTGCGGATATGTCACCTTAGAGACAAATCGAGAAGGTTGAGTTTTGTAAGCTCCGGCGGCAAGGTCGTTAGACGGTTGTCATGGAGACTAAGGGACTGTAGTTGACTGAGATGGCAGACGGTGCTTGGAAGACTGTGCAGCTGGTTGTCGCACAAGATGAGAGCAGTCAGGCAACTTAGGTAGCCAACAGTGGCAGGTATCTCGCTCAGATAATTGCCACCCAGATATAGCACCTCCAGACTGAAAATACGACAACAGCAGGCCTACTAATAAAAACGTTACTTATAGTTATTATGTAATATGTGTTCACAGTGAAACGCTAATACACATGATTGGAAGTTGTTAAATCGATGAAGATTAATCATTCTATAGCTAGCTGGTGATTTAATTACTATCATCATTATCAATATGTCGTATTATTAAGCAAAGCCTTATAGCTGGTAAAGTTGCTACAAGAGAAAAAGCCAAAATACCCACATAAAAAAGCTAATGAGGTTGAGAAGTAAATCTCTATAAGTTTGTCACAAATACCCCATTACTTTTATTAAGCCATTTATTTTCTGCGTAAAATTGCGTTGCCTCTGTTGAGGACTAATCATATCCTAAAACTTTACATCGAGGGCGTCTCTAAATGGGCAACGCTAGAGACTGCACCAGAAAGACTATGCCGAACTACGATATAGAGTTTTTATACGTAAAGACATTTGTAACAGAACGTTAACAGATAAGCTATAAGAGACAAGTAGATATTCTAGTAATTCATAACTAAACACGTTTTCCGTTACGACGACGACACGTTTCACGTTTCACGTTTTACGTTTTACGTTTTACGTTTTACGTTTTTTTACGTTTCACGACACGTTTCCCGTTACGACGACATTGTGGGTAGCAAACAATTGTCATTGTCACATTGTCATTGTCATTCACCACCTCCATCGTCACACGGTGGGTGTTGACGCATAAATCAAGAGTACATAATGGGAGATCCCATTATGGCATGGGGCCATTATGGCATTATGGCAATGGGAGATCCCATTATCCCATAAATGGATCTCCCATTATGTAATCTTGATTTATATACATCACTGCCCATGCTTGCGCTCGACTGCACCTCCCGAATTCTATCTGAACTACATATAGCACATCAAAATTGCCTTATGCACTAGCAGTCACGAAAATCTTCAAAATCGAGTTCCATCTCTCATTTGAAGATTGTTCACTCGTTGAAAGATGGAGAACCGTCGTACTCTTATTACGTTATATTGTACATGCAGATAATACCGTCGTTAGCTCTAGAACCAATGCATATAGGTAAATTTGCGGCCTGCTATATATTTGAATTGACGATTTTGTTTACGTGGCTGGAGGCAAAGTTTTTCACCGGCGGACAGACGGCTATCGCGTCACGCGACGAAATTATTATCCTCCCGTGAGTCCGCACGTATAGTAGTGCAGCGGGGGATATTGTTTTCGTGCTCGTTTGTATGTATGTGTGTGTGTGTGTGTGTGTGT